GGCAAAGGTGCACCTTGTCAACAGGCAAACCAAGCAACTGCTTGGAGCCCCGAGCAACTGGGGGGCCCCCGAGAGCCAGCTACTGTACACCCGGTAGATAAACAGCAACAGGCGAGCATGCATATAAAAATTCAGATTCAAGATTCAAGAGACTTTATTGTCATTCACATCACGTGTTACATGAGGTAGAATGAAATTGAGAGTCACGGCCCCAGTTACATCCGAATATAAAAAAATAAATTATAAAAACTAGCTACAAGATCAAATTATATAAATAGAAAAAAATATTTAAAGATATATAAAAACAAGAAGTAGAGAATAAAATGTATATTAATAGGAATGTACAGGATGGATGAAGTATGAGTAATGTAGCAGCGTGGGAAGATAAATTTAGCAGTGCAACATTTTAAAGTGTCTGAGTGTAAACTGCAAATACAGTGTCATTGGGGGGGTTAGGGGTTGAAGTGACCAAGTTATTGTTAGGGACAGTTTGAGAGTCTCACAGCTTCTGTTATGAAGCTGTTTCTCAGTCTGGTTGTCCTGCATTTGATGCTCCGCAGCCTCCTGCCTGAGGGTAGCGGGACAAAAAGTGAGTGTGCTGGGTGAGTGGGGTCCTTCATGATGCAGGAGGCCCTTTTCCTGCATCTTGAGGTGTAGATGTCTGTGGTGGTGGGGAGGTTGACTCCAACAGTCCTCTGTGCAGCCTTCACTACTCTCTGCAGAGCTTTCCTGTCTGCAGCAGAGCAGCTGCCGTACCACACGTTGATGCTGGAGCACAGGGCGCTCTCCACCACACATCTGTAGAAGGAGATGAGGATTGAGCTCCCCAGTTCTGCACGCTTCAGCCGCCTGAGGAAGTAGAGCCACTGATTCGCCTTCTTGACCACATTGGATGGAATGTTGATTGACATTGGCTTTGCCCAGTCAAAATCCAGCCCAGCCCAGGTGGATAACTTCTCTTAATGAAAATGAACGTAGCCTAGCGAATGGGTGACGTTGTAGGCCTATCGTTTAGTAAATTGGAAAGCAATTAAGTAACTGAGCTGTCTCAAGAGAGACTTTCAGGACTGGCTCTTATTTCCATAGAGTATAGTGTGCGAAGGTCTTTGGATCTGGAGGACTTAGTGTCTGCATTTGCACAAGCCAAGGCCCGTAAGCAGCAAGTCTGGAAGCAGGACCCCAATCATTTCACTACACTTACTATACTTTATATTTTGTACAAAGTTCATATTGGGTTTTTAAAGTAATTTACTGTTTTTTATTATTTTATTATACATTTATTTTAATTTATTAATTTATTCTTTACTTTTATTCTTTTATATTTTCCAAAATAACAAGGTTGTTCATGTTTAGAACATTTGGAATAAAAAAAGTTTTTATTTAATACATTTTTCATTGGTGTCAGATTATTTATAGCCTAACATAATGGTGATGAACGCTTGTCAGTAGGGCCCCCTAGGATTTTTTGCTTGGGGCCCCCACAGACTCTAGAATTGCCTCTGCATGGAGGCCCGGGACAGCACCCCTGGATTAGAAGACTGGGGTGGTGGTTTGTGTGCTTTGTGGCGGCCTAGAGGTTAGGGCATAGAGCTTGGAATCCTGGGGTTCTTAGTTTGAGCCCCACTCCAACAGACTGCCACTGAGCAAAGACCCTTAAACCCCCAAACCACTCCTCTGGCGCTGTGCAATGCAATTGGTTAAATGCAGCGGAATTCATTTTGTTGCTCTGTACTTGTGACAGTGTAATGACAATAAAAAGCTTGAAAAAAAAAAAAGGAAAGGGGACTGGAGGGTTTGCTTGAAATGTAGGGGAATCATACTTCTCAGCCTCCCCTGTAAGGCCCAAGCAAGAGTGCTGGAGTGGAGAGTCTGGATGATGGTCGAACCTCGACTTCACAAGGAGCAGTGTGATTGTCATCGTTGGTGTGGAACGGGACAAATTCTAAATCCTCTGCAGGGTTCTCAAGGGTTCATGGAAGTTTTCCCAACCAGTGAGCATTTCAGAACATAGAGAAGGCATTCGATTCAGGCTGCCTTGTGATGCGCTTCAGGAGTACTAAGTTGGGGGGGCCCTTTACTAGGGGCCATCCAATCACTGAACAAGCAGATCAGGAGTTTGGATGCTGGAGATCGGCCTGTTTTCCAGTGTGGTCCTGTTTCTCTGACCGTGACTGAGTGGATGTGCTCTCTTCGTCCTCTGACATGGGAGCTGGCTCGGAGCTCGTCTGCCTGGCTGTGTGTTTCCTGGACGGGGCCGCCTTTTACAGCTGCTTTTTGTGTCTCTGCTTCTGTCTCCTTGAACCCCAGTGGGCCTCAGCAGATGGCCGCTCACACTGAGCCTGGTTCTGCTGGAGGTTTCTTCCTGTTAAAAGGGAGTTTTTCCTCTCCACTGTCGCTACAAGCATGCTTAGTGTGAGGGATTGCTGAAGAGTCAATGAGTCGATGCAATCAGCTGGTTTTCCGTAGATAGAAAACTTTGTATCAATTTGACTGGATGATCTGGTTGAACTGTAAAGTGCCTTGAGATGACATGTGTTGTGAATTTGGCGCTATATAAATAAACTGAATTGAATTGAGTCTGCCCCACAGTTCCAGCATTAATTTGGACCTGTTCGGGGTGCATGTTGGACTCCAACTGGGCTGCTTTCTTTCATTGGTACTGTTCCTACCCTTTTATGGACAGGATTTCTAGGTGCAGCCAAAGACCTCATCCCTGCTGTTTGTGGCTGACATGTTTTTCCTAGCTTACTACAATGTAGTAAAACTACTCTAAATATTTTGTTTTCAAGAAGTAAATGTAAGTAAATATAACCAGTTATCTATCCTCAGGACAGCGTCTTAAAGTTAGACTAGCTCTGTGAGCCAGTGTCTTTCTTAGAATACATGCACAATGCAACACATGCAACAATAATGGACCTTTGAGAGGTTTTAAATGTCATGTAGGATGCTGCAAACCAGGTCCCCAGTTCAAATCCCATTTGGCTCAGTCGTATCTATGGACTTTTCCTACTGATGGTGGTCAGAGGGCCTGGCTGTGTCTATGTACTGCAGCCTTGCTTCTCTCAGTGTCCCGCAGGGCAGCTGTGGCTGTAATGTAGCTTACCTCCATGATTGGGCGAATGATTGCCACTAGTGTTTAGTTAGCTTTTGACTCTACAGAATAGTATCAGACAAATTCAACCTTGATAAGTTTGGAAGCTCAACTACTGGGATTGTTGTCGCAACTCTGTCACACTGACATTTTCAAAAGTCTCATTGTAACCCTTTAATTTTCATGTTCTGTCTGTGATACATATGTAGTTCCTTCACATTTGCAGCCTCGTCCTGCAGAAATAAGGCTACTGTCATTGTAACTGTCTCAAATGGCAGGTTAGACTCTACCAACGGGTTAAAGGCCAGCAGCTGATTTGATTTAATATTTTTAGGCGTTTTGGGGGATTTTTAGCGGCAAGTTAAGTTAATTTGATGCATGAATCGATATAGGCACTTTAAAGTATTGAATTGAACTCCCTGGGAGTTCAATTAACAATTCCACATTTGCTTTCTACCCCTTTTTATGTTTTTCACACTTGCTGATTTTTATGGATCTTGGAAATTAAGGTATGATAAAATTGAGGACACCCCTCTACATTTAGCTACTATTCTACAGCAATCTGTTCCCAAAAAATTAGTTTTATCAATTGATACTATGTTGTGAACTACTGTCTTTTAAATGAGAAAAACACCAACTTAAACAACCTATACTATATGATAAGACTTTGATACTGCATGATTGTATAATTCAAAGCTTCTAAATCTAGATCCAAAATCTAGATCCAAATCCTTTATTCTTTATGACAAAGCAAGTCTTGATACAAAAAGAAGACGCACTTTTTTTTTAGTAATCAGCCTTCCTTGTTGCTCATCTTCAGCAGTTGGAAGTTACTGCTGTTTTATTCTAACAATCTGAGATAATCTACAACTTAGTCTGAAGTATCTCTGAATGGGATGATGCAGTTCAGTGCATCATCCCATTCAAAACTAAAGAACCATCAAAATGTAAAATAATCAATTTAAATATTTAAAGCATATATTATATAGATGCACCGGTATTTCAAAATGTGTAAAAGTTACACTTTTTAAGTCCTTTTGGCTAAAACGGACCAGTGTTATCGGACCAGTGAATCTGTCAGTTCAATCTCTAACCTTCTGCTCTCTCTGCTTTTCCTCAGAGTAGCTTTGCCTCGTCTGTTCCTGTTTGGCTGTGACGTCATCCTGGAAAGAAACATCAGCTGTGCTGCTTCCATCAACACCGTTGTTTATAGATGTTGGAGATCGGCCTGTTTTCCAGTGTAGTCCTGTTTCTCTGACCGTGACTGAGTGGATGTGCTCTCTTCGTCCTCTGGCATGGGAGCTGCCTTGGAGCTCGTCTGCCTGGCTGTGTGTTTCCTGGACGGGGCCGCCTTTTACAGCTGCTTTTTGTATCTCTGCTTCTGTCTCCTTGAACCCCAGTCGGCCTCGGCAGATGGCCGCTCACACTGAGCCTGGTTCTGCTGGAGGTTTCTTCCTGTTAAAAGGGAGTTTTTCCTCTCCACTGTCGCTACAAGCATGCTTAGTGTGGGGGATTGTATTTGAGTCAATGAGTCAATGCAATCAACTGGTTTTCCTTAGATAGAAAACTTTGTATCAATTTGACTGTATGATCTGGTTGAACTGTAAAGTGCCTTGAGATGACATGTGTTGTGAATTTGGCGCTATATAAATAAACTGAATTGAATTGAATTGTTATAATCATTACTATAAGGGAAATTAATCATAGAGCTGCCATTTCTCTTTTTAAAGAAATTCAAATACCTTTCAAGTCTGCAGCAGCTGAAGGCTGAAATCAATTTTTTTTTCTGTCCTTGGAGAACAAAGACTTCCCTTTTTTGTCTTTTGATTCAGTCTCCTCTAAGAGCCAACCTAGAAAAATAAGAGCTATTGATTCGATGACTAATTCTTTTTTTTCTCTCCTCCAACAGAACAGATGGGTGGGAGCTGAAACATCAGAAGAACGAATCATCGGGAGGAGCACAGGCATGGGTGACGTCTTGCTTCCCGGTGCTGAAATGACCGCTGAGGCGTGGGAGAATAGCAGCTTGGCGAGTCCTTCGCCTGGTGTCCCGCTGTTTCTACTCATGTTCAATGACAGCGACCAGAATGAGACGCTGTTTAACTCCACCAACTCCACCTTTCTAGATGTCTCCTTGGGTCCCAGTGTGGCTGGAGTCCTCATCCCTCTTATATACATCATTGTCTGTGTCGTCGGCCTGGGTGGAAACACTCTGGTGATCCACATTGTGCTGCACTACTCAAAGATTGAATCAGTGACCAACATTTACATCCTGAACTTGGCCATCGCTGATGAGCTCTTCATGTTTGGCCTGCCCTTCCTGGCGGTCCAGAACACCCTCCAGTCATGGCCCTTTGGTTCCTTTATGTGCCGACTTGTCATGACGGTGGACTCCATCAATCAGTTCACCAGCATATTTTGCCTGACTGTGATGAGCATCGACCGTTACCTTGCTGTTGTGCACCCAATCCGCTCCTCAAAGTGGCGGCGCCCTCAGGTGGCCAAGGTGGTGAACGGCACCGTGTGGGCTCTGTCCTTCCTGGTTGTTCTGCCGGTAGTGATTTTTGCCAACATCCAGAAGGCAGGAGGCACCTGTAACATCGCCTGGCCCCAGCCGGCCAACATTTGGAGGGCTGCGTTTATCATCTACACCTCCACTGTTGGGTTCTTCTGTCCCCTCCTTATCATCTGCCTCTGCTACCTGCTCATCGTCTTCAAGATCCGCAGTTCAGGTAAAAAGGTCCATGCCACCTCAACAAAGAGAAGGAAGTCGGAGCGAAAAGTAACACGTATGGTCGTGATTGTTGTCGCAGTCTTTGTCTTCTGCTGGTTGCCTTTTTATGCCCTCAACATCCTCAACTTGCTGGTGTCTCTGCCTTCAGAGTACCAGGGACTTTACTACTTCGTTGTCGTTCTCGGATACGCCAACAGCTGTGCCAATCCAATTGTTTATGGCTTCTTGTCCGACAACTTCAAGAGGGGTTTCCGTAAAGCCCTATGTCGCTCAACAAGAAAAGTAGAGAGCCATGAGCCCGTGGAGCATCCACTGCAGCCAGAAGAGGGGAGGAGGGCGATGATGCCGAGAGAGAGCCTAAGGCGAGTTATTAGAGACGAAGATGACGACGACGAGGACGTCTCAGAAATGACGGAGATCTACAGAATCACCCAGAACGGAAACACCAGTTTCCTGCCTCAGAGCTCGCAGCCACAGAAAGGAGCGTCAGCATCAGAGATGGAAATGCCGTCACCAGACAGAAACTGCAGCGGAGAACCCAAAGGGACGGAACCCACCAACGGGTCGTCACTGACGGTCCCGCTGCTTCTTAACGGAGCTAAAAACGGGAGCGTAAAAACTCTGCCAGAAGAAAACACAGAACAGAGCGCATCATTAGAGATAAGTTATTTATAGTTGGACATATAAAGTGGATCATCAGTGATGGGGGCCTGTTCATTTGGCTGATCGATGTGTATGAATATATTCTGTATATATGTATCTGATATCTGGTCTAATTTGTGCCTTTATTTACCACTTGGATGTGCTGTGATGGTCACCTCTTGTTTTGTTGCATTAAATGTTTTCAACAAGTGCGACACAAAGGAAAATTCACAAAGCCATTTTAATGTGCTAGATGTCTAAAAATCAGATTTTACTGGTCAAACTAAATGGAAAAGAAAATTCTGAATTTATTGTTTGTGCATTTGGTATAATAGTGAGTGCAAAACATGGGCAAAAATCTGACCACATGGTTTTTCTTTGTGAATTTTCCGCTTGGTCACTTTGAAATGCTTTGTACATTTTGTTTATTTGGAGAATCACGGATAATATTTTGGGTTTTTTTATTGTTGCAGAAGGAAAGTTTAAAATTACATAGTTACGACATGTTTAAAATTTCTACATTAGTGACTCCCTCTGGTTGCGTAAAAGGTTTTTTCAGAAAAATTACTGCCTTACGCCACTTCCTATGATTTATTTCGATGTTTCATAATTTTTTTTTCTCAGTTTGTTTGTGAATAAAGCCCTTTGGTATATTTACAACAACAATGCAGGTACGATACTTTCCTTTTGGTGGTAAAAAAAAAAAGGAAATGGCCTACTGCAGCTAAGCCACTTAGCACCTCCTAGAGAAGTGTGAAAACAGTGAAGAAAAGTCCAAGATCAAGTGTGAAAAAAAGGTTTGATTCCAAGAGGAATAAGACTGAAGCAATACTTGGAAATTTAGTATAAACGTTGGTGCTCACTGAAGTGGGAGCTAAAGCTGAGGAGGTGAGATGTGACTGTTAAGTTGATGGATCGTAAGTAAACGTCCTTACAAATATTGATAGTAGTGATAGCAATCCTACTCTTTGTCTGTGTACAGTTTAAAGTATGAAGAATTAGATAGATAGATAGATAGATAGATAGATAGATAGATAGATAGATAGATAGATAGATAGATAGATAGATAGATAGATAGATAGATAGATAGATAGATAGATAGATAGATAGATAGATAGATAGATAGATAGATAGATAGATAGATAGATAGATAGATAGATAGATGTCTTAATTCAACTCCTAGGGAGTTAAATACTTTTAAAATGTCTGTATTGGTACACGCTAGATTAGGTTAAAATAACACAGTGTTGAACAGATAACACTAGGAAAGTTGGAAAAACAATGAATAGATTCAATTCAACATTTATCAGGGTTGAATTTATATAACAGGTCAAAAGTTTACACTGCACTAGTGTTAATACTTCTCAGAATTTGTGCACAAATATAGCTGAGTATCATCTAGCCTCGTGAGACCATCCTGATCCCGCGAGCTTTCAAGGTTTCACTCGCAGATCAGTCTGGAGACTCTCCTTTAAAGAAAATTTGGAGCCGTTCACCAAACGAACGTCCAATCAGCGTTGGCTTTGAGGCGGGTTGAGGTGTGACGCAACGAGAAGCGCGACAGTTCAGTCTAAAGAACATGGCGGCTTCAGCCGATGAAACTAGCGTTAGCGTGGCTATCGAGCAAGTTTTATCGGAATTACAGAGTATTTCTTCACTGAAAGAAGAGCAAAACACTGCTCTGGAGGCTTTTCTCAGAGGAAAAGATGTTTTTGCTCTTCTCCCGGCTGGTTTCGGCAAGAGTAGCCTGGCTGTTAGTACGTCATATGCTTCGTTGATCTGATTGGTTTATTTGGCCCGTCTATCACCAACATAGGCCAATCAGCTACCCAGTATTTTCACCCCTTCCCAAAATTACTTCAACGGAAGGTTTCCAGATGGATATGCGGAGCAAATCCATCTGGCGGAGTCAGGTTAAACACAGACATCAGCCGAGTGGGAAATCGTGACTTTTTCATTGCTCAGGTAAACGCTGCCAGTTGTAGGCCAAGCATGCTTGTCTGCTCTGAAAGGACGGAGCGCCTGTGATCTAGATTCATAAAATTTAAAAGGAGAAAGTGATTCAAAGCAGGGGGATCGGTGGTTGTTTTTTATCGCAACACAATAAAAATAAGAGGTTTATATTGTTTAATCTTAAAAGGAAAAAAAAATCCTGTTCCCTTAAGTGCCAAAAGTAGTAATCTTTTGTCTTAAAAGGTGTAAATATCTTTTAAACATGCTTGATGAAATGCAATATTATGTACTTAGTTTGCTGCTTTTGATGACACAAGTACCAATAGAAATGCCAAATTTTTCTCACCCATTCACTTCGACAGATTAATGAATTTGTTTTCCATCCTTAGCGCTTTTTTAACCTTTTGTTTCTGCGTGGGAATCTAAACCGATCAGGCTACATTAACTCTCTACCAAACATCATTTTTTGGTAGAAAAAAAAAACCTTTGGCAAAAGATAAAGTTGCATTAGCTAGATACAAATATTTTAGACTGACTTTAGCTGTGATGTGTTATTTTAAATGATTCAGTGTTGCAGTTCTGTGCTGGTTGTTGTTAATGTTGAAGTAATCATCTGATTTAGTCTGTTTCTCGAAAGCAGAACAATAACCAGAATGTTTTATGCTTCTGTTTCCCCTCTTGAACAGGTTAGATGTGCTGCTCAGTGTTTGTAAATGCATCAGGTGGTTGATGTTGTACAGTTTGTTTCACACACAATAAAGAATGATTAGAGATCACTGCCTCATCTCAAATAGCAGCTTTTGGTTTAATTTAAATACCTACCACTGTAGTTGGAAGTGATTTACACGTGTTGGTGCTGACCAGGGGTGCAAATGAATCAGTATTATGTTCTAACACCCAGTGGCACCATTATGGCACTCAGTCAGCTCTAAGCCCCACTGTAGCACCAACAGATGCAGATAGATAAACACTGAACAGTAAAACACAGGATATGAGGAGGTAGAATCACCAGAATGAAAGAACATTGTGCATAAAGACACATATTTTTATACATATTTGTCTGTAAATTAAGCATATAACTCTGTATATATCTGATCTAGTTTATGATATATCTCATATGTCTAGATAATTTATTTTTTATCTTTTTTTTCTCTAATTCCTATCAGTACTACTGTTTCGTTATTGATTTATTTTGTTTTTTGATTGGTTTTATTGTCATATGTATGTCAAGTTCATGTTACTGTAACATGTGAATTTACCCAATGTGGGATTATTAAAGTATCACTTTCATCATCTAAAAGAAAAAAATATATATATACAGATCTAGAAAATCATAAATACAGTACAGAGCAAAGTTTGGACACATCTTCTCATTCCAAGAGTTTTCTTTATTTTCATGAAATTGCAGATTGACACTGATGGCATCAAAACTTTGAATTAACACATGTGGAATTATATACTTAACAAAAAAGTGTGAAACAACTGAAAATATGTCTTATATTCTATGTTCTTCAAAGTAGCCACCGTTTGCTTTGATTACTGCTTCACACACTCTTGGCATTCTCTTGATGAGCTTCAAGAGGTCGTCACCTGAAATGGTTTTCCAACAGTCTTGAAGGAGTTCCCAGAGATGCTCAGCACTTGTTGGCCTTTTTGCCTTCACTCTGCTCTTCTGCTGAAATGGTTTTCACTTCACAGGTGTCCCCTGGTGGGATTTCTTGCCTTATAAATGTGGTTTGGACCATGAGTTATGATGTGCAGAAGTCAGATGGATACACAGCAGTTAGTCCTACCGAATAGACTGTTGGAATTTGTATTATGGCAAAAAAAAAAAAGCAGCCAAGTAAAGAAAAACGAGCGGCCATCTTTACTTTAAGAAAGGAAGGTCAGTCAGTCCGAAAAATCGCCAAAAAGTGTCCCCAAGTGAGGTCGCAAAAACCATCAATCACTATAAAGAAACTGGCTCACATGAGGACCCCCCCCAGGAAAGGAAAACCAAGAGTCACCTCTGCTGCGGAGGATAAGTTCAGAGTCACCAGCCTCAGAAATCACAGGTTTACAGCAGCTCAGATTAGAGAGCAGGTCAACGCCACACAGAGTTCTAGCAGCAGACACATCTCTGTCATGTTTAGTTTCAGCTTTCTAACCCACATGCAGAACACTCATCAGACAGAGGTTTATTGAATAAACACAGTATCAATAAAGAACTGATCCAAGGGATAATCAGATCCAGGACTGGTCACGACTGGGTTCACTGCAGAGGGGGACAGAGGGATTAGCTGATGTCCAGGTAATTTGCAGGACGAGAGAGTGCAGGTCTGTACCTGTTCTGGAGTTAGAGCAGAGCGGCAGAGGGGGGGAACCAGGAGGGTCCAGAGGCTGTCGGCAGGCTGAGGGCTTGGAGGAGGCAGAGCTTGATTTGAGTGCTTGCAGATCACAGGTTTGAGTTTCCCTTTCAGATTCTTCAGAGAGCAGGCAGGCAGGTCTTTGACAGGTTTGATTCTCCAGGGTTCTTCAGAGATCAGACAGACAGATTTCCAACAGAGAAACTCTTCAGGGTTTCTAGTTTCAGGCAGGTTCAACCTGAGAAGCAGAGAGGACAAGACAGATCAGGTTCAGGTTTTCTGGGAGTCAGAGATTCAGACAGGCAGGTTGGCTCAGGCTTGCTAATCATAACTGGCAAACACTCTGGCGCTGGAGTGATGTCCTCTGCCTGCTTAAATACTGGTCTCCTGATGAGCAAACGAGCAACAGGTGTTGCAGGTGAGCACAAGCCCTCAGGAAGGGATCCTTGGCGCCCTCTGGTGGGCAAGCCTCCGGATCCCAACAATCTCTACAACAACTGTTAAGAGGAGACTGTGCGAATCAGGCCTTCATGGTAAAAAAAAAAAAAGCTGCTGGGAAACCACTATGTTGTGCAAAATAATATCCTGCAGATAATGAATAAATGATTAACTGGAACTGGAGTTATGGTTAATTATTTAACCTATTCAAAATCAGAGGTAAAATTAATTTAGTGTTCTTAGTTGAATAATTATAGCTTTAAATTACCTACCTACCAGGGGTTGCGGATTCACCTCTGGAGGGTTCCTGGACCGGCTGTTAAAATCCAGGTCTCCCAATCTAGTGACCCAGGCTAAGTGGTCAGCAGAGCTATTAATTATCAATAAAGAACCCTTTTTTTTTTTTTTTTGTTTATTCGCACTATTACCAAAAAGGGGGTGGATCTGACCTGAGTGATAAATCCTCCGCTATATGAAACACAGACACACTGTCTGAGGTGACCGCCTCCCACCTTGGGCCGGTACAGTGATTTTCCGGGAATCCTTTGTTCTTCTTTGTGGAAAAGAAAAGGGGGATGGTTTCAGATGGTTCATCCAACTGGTTTAGCTCCATTTTGGCAATATATCCCAACACCTGCTAAGGACAGGCAACAAGCAGAAGAGACATGCTTGGGCTAAAGAACACAAGAAATGGACGTTAGAACAGTGGAAATCTGTGCTTTGGTCTGATGAGTCCAAATTTGAGATCTTCGGTTCCAACCATTGTGCGATGCAGAAAAGGTGAACAGATGGACTCTACATGGCTGCTTCCCAGCGTGAAGCATGGAGGAGGAGGTGTGAGGGTGTGGGGGTGCTTTCCTGCTTATACTGTTGGGGATTTTTTCAAAATTGAAGGCATACTGAATCAGCATGGCTACCACATTTGCAGCGGCATGCTATTCCATCCGGTTTGCGTTTAGTTGGACCATAA